ATAGATAGATAGATAGATAGATAGATAGATAGATAGATAGATAGATATTAGTTTTTAAGAGTATAAATACTTTTAGTACCTCACATCTTGCCCAGTGATGATGGAGACGGGCACCAGCTTCCCTGCAACCTTGTACGATAGAAAACGGATAAAGGAAATAGATGAAAGTTATTGTAAACGTTGTTAAAAATATTTACTTAATTTAAGCCATTTCTGTTAAATTTTGTGAATTGAAATATACATGAAGACCAGGACGGTAGTGCAACTGATGGAGCTGCTGCCTCTCAGGGAGCAGGTCCCCGGTTCAAACCCCGGTCCAGGGGCCTTTCTGGGTGGAGTTTGCATGTTCTCTCCGTGCATGCGTGGGTTTTCTCCAGGTACTCCAGTTTCCTCCCACAGACCAAAAACATGCACGTTAGCTGATGGGTAACTCTAAATTGTCCCTAGGTGTGAGTGAGAGAGTGAATGGTTGTTTGTCTCTGTGTGTCCCTGTGATGGACTTGCGACCCGTCCAGGTTGTACCCGGCCCCTCGCACAGTGATCGCTGGACATGGGCACCAGCGACCCCCGTGACCCAAAATGGAAGAAGCGGGTAAAAGATAATGGATCGCAGAGGTTAGAGTGGTGGGCTTGTGATCCGAAGATCGCCGGTTCACGCCCCGGCCCCGACAACATCAAAATTGTGGGTGGGGTAGGTGAAACACTCACACTTGCCCCCACCCTCATTCGCCCCACTATGGGCCCATGAGCAAGACCCTTAACCCCCACCATGTGCTCCCTAAACAGGTCTCTCTTGAAAATGAGTTCTCGTGGCTCAATGAGACTAACCTGGATAAATAAAGGCTAAATGAAAAAAAAAAAAAAAAAAAAAATGGATGGATGGAAATCTACATGTAACTCCCCCTCATTCATTTACTGCTTCTGACGGGTCACGTTTGCAAACATTATTGAACAATGGTTCACTTAATATTTGTCCAAGACACATTGTTTGAACTGATACAAACTATACTGTACAAAAATTATTTAAAAAGGAAACAACATAACGCGCTAAGTTTTCTTCAAAAACCTATAAAGCTTCCATCTCTGCTCCAGGAGGGGCATGCGGTGGTGCTGCCATGGTCTGCAGTGAACTGTTGTTTTTATCTATCTCCTTCGATGGCCTTGTCTTTTCCCCTCATTCTTCTTTGTTAGAAGACTGTTTGCAGTCAACAACAGAGACTGTACTGCCTTCAGACGTTCCAGTCCAACAAATATAAACAGCATCAAAAATGTGGTTGATTATGACCGGGGCCATTTATCAGGATCAACATATCAATGATAAAAATCAGCATCAACATTTTGTTTGCATTTGACCAGTCCTCTGGCAACAACTAATCCTTTCACCCCTAATTATTTCTGGTTGTAAACAAACCCAGCCCTCATGAGCTACAATCAGAGTTTTTCTGTATGTTGCTGTGGCATCCGGTCCGACCAGGCCTGCGTGTTTGTGCAGGCTGCTTCCTTGGCCTTCAGCCAGGAGGGACCAGGAACGTGTCCATATTTTTCTATAGATTGTCAACATACGTGTGCTGAAAAGCCTTACTGAAAAGTGAGCGATAACACCAGTCAACCATACTGTTTCACTGATTTAATTGATTATTTTATTAGACATCGCCATGAGCTGGTTCTGCTAAGTTTCTTCCTCATGAGGGAGTTTTTCCTTTCCACTGTCGCCTTCATGCTTGCTCAAGAAGAGAGTTCTGCGATGGAGTTGAATTGAAAGCAGTCTGCTCTTCAGATAAATAGTGTTAAATTATTTTTATATATATTTAAATGTTTCTGTTCAGTGCCCTGAGATGACTTCTATGACTTGACACCATATAAATAAACTGAACTGAATTGTGCTGCTGATCACATCGACCCAGGGAGTTTTTGGTTCTGTCGGGTTTGATTTTGTTGCTCACATGTGAAAGTGAATGATTTAAAACAAACATATGTTGCACTTCGAAGAGCATGCCTCAAGGTTTTGTTTTTAAATGAGAAAAAAATCATCTAGAACAGAAGTAATATTTGTATTTTACATATTTCTTGGATATAACTTGATACATAGCTTCAAGTTGGCAACATTTTATTATGACCACTTTTTATAAATTTAAACACTTGAAGTGGCCGAACAGGTTAAACTATATATATATATATATATATATATATATATATATATATATATATATATATATATAATCTCACAAACAAACAAAACATCACTTGGTATTTCTTACTAGAAATTCTAGCAATACACATTTTTAAGTGTATTTTTTCACAGCGAGCTGATAATGTTTGTTTCACAAGTCACATCTGATGAAGAAAACTTTATTAAAAAGTGGGCTTTAGTATTTTTATTTTTAACTATTACTTTTTCACGCAGTACTTATACTTATTTATCAATACCAATATTCATGCAGACAAATCTAAACCTGAAACATGTACATTTTCCTGCATTCATAAATAACTAAATTTACTCTTTACTGAGGACTTCAAAGTCAAGCCTCTGAATTATTGTTTAGATGAAGTTTCTGTGATTTTTGGACCTCATTTATTAATAATTCATGTGTTGGCTCTTGTTTTTTTTTTTTGGATACCATATCTGAGGAAATGTTAATATTTTCTGGGTTGTTAATATAAAAGTTTGATATGTTTACTCAATTTATACTTTACTTTATAATGATAATTAAAATATTTGCCTGCAGTTTTAGCTCAGAGTCTCAGAAAGGATCAGTACTTTGTGGAAATGTAAAACACTGATACCAGTTTATTTTGCTCATGAAGTTTATCATCACACTTATTAGTCATTTACTTTATATCACACTCTGTTAAATCTTATCAGCTAAATCCCTTCAGCATCAGTGTGTGAAGCTTTGTAACTTCTGTTTCTCAAACCCAGCTCCAGAACCAGTCACTGAGCACAAACGTACTGTCTGTTTCTTTCTCTGATAAGATTGCAGATGAGGTAATGGCTGCTATATCAAAGCAAGATCTGTTACATGTGAAGATGTATAGATAAAGCTCGTGTTTTTTTAGAGAACACACAGGAATTCTTGGGCTGCGTTTCCATTCCATGTTTTCTCTCCTTCTGCAGAAGAAATCAATAAATCTTACTCTTTTATTTTTATTAAGTTCTCAGTCTCAAAATTTATTAAACGATAGGTTTAAAAAAACTCCACATGAGAACCTAATATATTTTTTACCTATCATGCACCTTCTCTTCAGTTGTCCAGAGATGACTTTTTATTCATTTTATATTGGTACAAACGTCAGCATTTCTTTTTGTGTTTAAAACAGCACTGTAAGAAAAGCTTCATTAAAACATCTGAGCGATTAGAAATCTTGGCAAGCTAGAAAATGTTTTCATGCTGCATATTTTAGGGCAGGGCCTGCCACTGCATTGCAAACCATTTATAATATATCACCAGATCCTTGAACTACTAATTTGGATTATTTTTACATTAACACAATGGACTTGAACTCTTATCTTTTTGACATCAACTGTAAAGGCTAAACTATAATTTTTTAACATAGCATGAAGTCATCAGTACATCATACACTAAACATGTTTACTGACCTGAAATATTCCATGGATTAGGTGGCAGGTGCACTGACTGTTGTCCTGTTTCTGTCTGTTTACCTGAAGTCTGATATTGGATAAGGTGTAACAGGTTCATATCAGGTCTGGCTGAACTTGTGTGTATGTTTGAATCATTTAGTGCACATAACGGCAGCATGGTGGCGCAACTGGTAGAGCTGCTGCCTCTTGGTGAGCAGGTCCCTGGTTCAAATCCCGGTCCAGGGGTCTCTCTGGGTGGAGTTTGCATGTTCTCTCTGTGCATGTGTGAGTTTTCTTCAGGTGCTCCGGTTTCCTCCCACAGACCAAAAACATGCATGTTAGGCTGATTGGTAACTCTGAATTGTCCCTAGGTGAGAGTGAGAGAGTGAATGGTTGTTTGTCTCTGTGGCCCTGTGATGGACTGGAGACCTGTCCAGGGTGTACCCCGCCCCTCGCACAGTGATTGCTGGACATGGGCACCGGCGACCCCCGTGACCCAAAAAGGAAGAAGCGGGTAAAAGATGATGGATGGATGGATGGATAGTGCACACAACACTGTAATTGCTTCCATCTTCAATGTTAGCTCAGCATCTGATTTGAGTTGTGAGCAAAGTACTTTGGGAAAAGTAGTTTCCTCAGCCTGATCTACAAAACAGTCTTTAGTGTTGTTGTACTAAAGGTACCTTAAATACACAACTCCGCAAACTACTTTTGTCATATTTTGGGTTATGTTGGTTGGGCAGAGGTTAAGATGACGGGGGTTGAGGTGAGGTGTGACATGTTTGTGATGCCTCACTGTCAGTTGTTAATCATAGTGTTAATTTCGGATTGTGCCAAACAGAAAAAAGTTAGTCATTGGGCCACCTACCTCAAAGGTAAAAGCTGAACAGAACGTTGAATACACTGATGAAGAATGTTTTTGTTGTTGGTACTATTTTATCATTAGGGCTGCTCATATTGTATGTTAAGGTTCAGTTTTGTTGCCAGCTTTGGTTTGTGCGTGTCACATCTGACCACAAAAATGACGAACATGTCTGTATTATGTGGCTCTGCCTTCACTTCCTGATGGGACTTTCAGAAGATTTCAAAAACTTGTTTCACAGTCACCGTTAATGGGTGAGGATAGTTCTTGAAATCAAACCTTGGAAGAAGCTGAAGCATGTCTATCTGTAAACATGTCTGATTGTAGTTCATGGCCAATGTACAAAAAAATTATACAGTAACTCTACCAGGAGTTGTATGCAGAACAATTGCTCATTGTTAAAAACTGAGAACCTTGAGCTGTAATTTTAATGACACCACAACAAACCTGATAGTCTGGGCCAGCATAAAGTCAAAGCAACATAACCGTCCTTATTTACAATTCGTCCAAATGTACACTCAGTACAAGTGCAGCAGCTTGCTCAATCTAACATTTAATTCTGTTGAAAATGTATTTGCCTTTAAATTATTGGCATGACTCCAAATAACAAAAAAAGTTTTAGTTTTTCTTCAGAGCTTCTGGAAAACTACTCTGATTAAAAAAAAAAAAAAAAAATCACAATGGAAAATTACTGGATTTTTTTTTTTTTTTTTTAAATAGCTAGGAGTCCTGCATAAACCTTTAACTGAACAGTTCAAACTCCCTCAAGGCAGCTAGACCTGAATCACAGGAGGAATTACAAAGTTCTCATTTGTAGCCAAACCCAGACCCCCACGTCTTCTATCCAATGGAGTAAAAGTTCCCTTTTTAGTCACATTTTGTGTGTTGTAAGTTTATTGTTTTAGTCAGAGCTAAATTTGCTTGGTTCTTTTCACTTGTGTGGTTGAGCCAGTATCGGGGAGGATGGGAACTAATTTGGTGAACGCTGTAAACAAATTCTCTGCCTTGTGTCATCTTCTCAGTCCCTCAAGGCTGTGTGTTGAGCCGCCTCCTGTTCATGCTGCTCAAATATGGCTGCACACCTACCCATCCAGGCTGTCCTATTGTAAAGTTTGCTGACAGTACAGCAGTGGTTGGATGCATCACAAACAGTGATGAGTCCGACTACAGGCAGGAGGTGGAACACCTGGAGAGCTGGTGCAGGGAAACCAACCTCCACATCAATGTGAAGAAGACGAAGATTGTGGATTTCAGAAAGGGAGAACGCACCTAACCTATACCACCCCCCTGTGCATCTGCGGTGGAAGCGGTCTCCACTTACAGTCCCTCACCTCCTTCTACAGGTGTGCAGTGGAGAGCATCCTGTGCTCCAGCATCAACGAGTGGCATGGAGGCTGCACAGCTGCAGAAAGAAAAGCTTTGCAGAGAGTGGTGAAGGCTGCACAGAAATCTGTTGGAGTCCGTCTCCCCACCATCACAGACATCTACACCTCTAGATGCAGGAAGAGGGCTACCTGCATCATGAAGGACCCCACTCACCCAGCACACAGACTTTTTGCTCCACTCCCCTCAGGAAGGAGGTTGAGAAGCATTAAGTGTACAACCATTAGACTGAGGAACAGCTTCTACCCTGAGGCTGTTAGACTCATGAATCCCTAACCAGAAAAATCACTGTAATGCCACTTTAATTAGAGAGTTGAGTTGATACTTTATCTGTGCTGCTGATTATTCGTGCTGCTGATTTCTTACCTTAAGCTGCTGTATTCATACCCATCTTCTCACAACAGGCTCATGTTCAGGCTGCTGTTTAATACGCCGTATTGTATCTCATTATTATTGTTTAGCATATATTTTAGATCCTTGTATACCGTTTCTTTTTATACTTTATATTTTTGCTATTTTGGGTGTAACTGGGACCTTATGCACACAGTTTCGTTCCACCTCATGTATCACGTGATGCGAATGACAATAAAGAATCTTGAACCTTTTAAGAGTGTGAATAAAATATTGAGTTAACGTGAAGATGTTGAAAAGGTCTGAAGAGTTTATTTTATAAAGAGACTCCATCCATCTATTACCTTTACCCAATTCTTCCTTTTTGGGTTGCAGGGGTCACTGGTGTCCATATCCAACAGGCACGGTGTGAGAGGTGGGGGACATCCTGGACATGTCTCCAGTCCATCACAAGGACACATAGAGACAAACGAGACAATCAACCATTCACTCTCACTCACACCTAGGGACAATTTAGAGTTACTAATCAGCCTAACATGCATGTTTTTGGTCTGTGGGAGGAAACCAGAGTACCTGGAGGAAACTCACACATGCACAGAGAGAACATGCAAACTCCATCCAGAAAGGCCCCTGGCCTTGATTTGATCTGGCGACTTCCTCACTGAGAGTCGACAGCTCTACCAACTGCGCCACTGTGCCTCCCTTAAAGAGACTCCTCTTTACTAAATTAAAAAGTCAGCAGTCCATGAAGTGTTTGGTTTAAACATTTACGTGTCATTGCGCTGATAACAGCAGTTGCTTTTTCCAAAAAACGTTTTAGTGTTAATTGCATTTTGTGTGCTGAAACATCAGTCTAATTGGACTTTAAACTTGTTCTCCAACCAGGTCAGCATGGCAGTGGATGTCCCTGGACTGGTGTCCGTGGTGGTTTTTTATATTTGTATCCTGGCCATTGGAGTGTGGGGTTCTCGAAAATCCAGGAAGGTGGAGAAGAAATGCACTGGCACCAAGAGCGAAATTTCCATCATTGGTGGTCGCAACATCAATGTCCTGGTTGGGGTTTTTACCATGACAGGTAGAACTGTAGACTTTAAGATTTCAAATCTAAAAGCTGTAACTTTTAGGTTAGCTCGTTAATCAATGCTAATTTTTAAAATTTTATTTATTCACTTTTAAATTTTTTTTTTTTTTTTTTTTTTTTTTTTTTTTTTTGCTTTGCTTTTAGCCACATGGGTCGGTGGAGGTTACATTATGGGAACTGCTGAGGCTGTTTATTCTCCATCTCAAGGTCTCATCTGGGCTTTAGGCCTCCCGGCATACGCTGCAAATTTTCTCCTGGGTAAGTAGACAAAACACATCCAACCTATGTACAATAACACACAGCTGAAGGCTATGTGTATATGCTCTAATGTAATATTTTTCAAAACTGTTGAAAGACTATATTTAAGACTTCTGTACTCCTACAGGTCAGATAATGTTCTTGTATTACTTTTTCCTGAAATTTAGTTTTGGCAAGAAGACAACAGAAGTCACACAGTAATAGTTTCAACTTACACATTTACATGTGATGTATTTAACTATTTTCTAACATGCACAAATGACTTGTATTATCTAGTAAAATAAAACATTTTCATTGAAATCCTAAAAACAAATCTCGAGTTGAGTGAGTGGAGTGGTCTACATGCAGTACACTTATTTGTGTATTTATTTGTATTTACAGTGCCTTGCGAAAGTATTCGCCCCCCTTGAACTTTTCAACCTTTGGCCACAAAAAAAAAGTAAAGGGGACAAATAATATTGCACGCCCCACTTTTCAGTTTTTTATTTGTTAAAAAAGTTTGACACATCCAATAAATTTCATTCCACTTCACAATTGTGTCCCTCTTGTTGATTCTTCACAAAAAAATAAAATTTTATATCTTTATGTTTGAAGCCTGAAATGTGGCAAAAGGTTGAAAAGTTCAAGGGGGCCGAATACTTTCGCAAGGCACTGTATGAAGTGTCAGCATGTCTGGGCTGAAAGATGTACATGTACTCACTGGCACATAAACATCAGCACACAGACTGCATGATGAAAATGAAATGAAACTGCACATTTTGTAAGATTATGTAATTGCATTTCATTAATAAAAAATATTACATTAAATGGATAGCAGACTTTGGCAGTAGGGTCACACCGCTGGTACCATGTCAGTAGAGCGTTGCATCCCCTCAAGCCTGGATACAGGTGTTGATTCTGAACGAAACGGAGTCATACAGCTGTTGTTTTCTCTCCTGCATCGTCAACCCACAGTTGTTGCAAGATGTAGCAAATCACCACTGGGTCAGAGTTGTTGTCTGGGTTGATCCCACACATACTGACTGGGGAAAAACTGAGGGACCTGACTGGCTACAGGAGGAACTCTACATGACACCGGCATTGAGACAGGTGTCATAAGTGGACAGGTGATGTTCTTTTGAAAGACTGCACCAGGATTCTGTCTCAGGAGGGGTAAGACATGTAGGATATCACTGGAATAGAGCTGTGCAATCAGGGTCCCAGAATCCCCACCAGAGGTGACCCTACAGTCCTTACACAATGATGCAAAGAGTAATGCCTGTGTTTCCCTCCACAGCAATGGAAAGATTGCCCCCCCAACCTGGCATCACAGTTCTTGTACAATATGGTCGTCAGTGGTAATGCAGAAACAATATTTATTACTGAACATGAGCATAATAAAGTGCTCTGGAGTTAATGGTAGCCTACACATGAAGATGTAACTCTGTGATCCAGTTAATGCCTGTTGTTGGGACATGCTGTGGGATGACATGGGGTGTAAAGAATCCAATATTTGTGCCTGGATGGCAGGCGCAGATCTCGTGGAGTTCTGCAATGCTTGGCACATGAGGCCTCAGTCTTAAAACTGAGTTCTCATGGGTCATTTTGACCCAAGGGCAGCAGGAGGGTTAAATGACGTGAGCAGATGCTCCCCTTTACCCTTTTGGTTCTATTATCAAAATGCATCTACAAAGAACCAGAGTTCATGCTCAATAATCCAGGTATAAAATCCAACATCTACAAAGTGACCCCTCTGTCTCTGTTTTGACTGAGTGCTGGAAGCGTTGGCAACTGCCTGAAATCAGTATTTCTTTAATCATCATGACTCAGCTTATCCGTTCTGATGCCCACTGTAGACATTGCAAATAGATTCATTTAGTTACCCATTACTGGTTTACTGGGAAAACCCAAGCACGCACAAAGAAAACATGCAAGTGCCACACAGAACAGCCTCAGGTCGTAGAGGCTCAATGGGATTTACCTGTCTAAAAAACAGTTGAATGAATAAACCATCGATTTTATTACTGTGAGGCGGCATTTCTATCCACTTTTCTGCAGTGTTGACAACATTTTGCATGAAGTAGTTCATGTTTTGTTTTTTCCCCAACAGTTTTTCATACTATGTATCCTGTTGTTTCTTGTAGGTGGATTGTTTTTTGCAAAACCTATGAGGTCAAAGTGTTACGTGACCATGTTGGACCCATTTCAGAACCGCTATGGCAAAGCATTCACTGCAACACTCCTGCTTCCGGCTTTGGTCAGTGACATATTATGGGTTGCCTGCATCCTTTCTGCTCTGGGTAAATAACTTTTCAACGCCATCTTTATACCTTAATTTGTCACTTAGAAATCACATAGTTTCCTCCAAATTTAAATGCTTTGTCTTTGTTTTTCAATTTAAGTATACAAATTAAATAAATTGTCCATCCATTTATTATTTTTACCTGCTTCTTCTTGTCGGGGTCGCTGGTGCCCAAGTCAAGCAGTCATAGTCCGAGAGGAGGGGTACATCCTGGACAGGTCTCCAGTCCATCACAAAGCCACATGAAGACAAACTAAACACATTTTTATTGATATTCTTTAAGAAATTTATCAGAAAAATAGATTATTTCCTCATTTATGTCTTACTTATTTGCAACAATGGCTGTGATGCATGGACTACTTGGACAATGAGTCTTTTTTTTATTTCACTTTTTGTCAAAATCATTGTTTTACTTTAAAAAAATATATGAGTGTGTATTTGTGTTTTTATTAAAAATATACATGATTTTCAGGTGGAACAATGAGCATCATTCTCAGGCTGTCATCCACTGTCTCTATCATCATCTCAGCCGCTGTCTCCATCGTCTACACGTTTTTAGGAGGCCTGTACTCTGTGGCATATACTGATATTATCCAGCTTTGTTTTATTTTTGTCAGTCTGGTAAGAATAAAATTGTAATGACGATAATAAAGTTCAGGAATAATTTAATAGATAGGAATTGGATTTGAGAATGGCTAAAAGAAATGAGAGCACGTCATCTCTTTGTATAACATATAACAAAAATCTAGTCTTTTGGTTTTTTGTTTTTTTTTGTAAAGGAGATTATTTATTTACATTTACCATTATACTTTTATTCTGAAAGTTTAAATGAAACACAGCAACTGGGCTTCTATTCTGTAATCAAATACATGTTCCTTCTGTCCGGGGAGCTTTTTCAATTTAAAACAGGAAAATGGGGATTTCTAAGTGTTAAACTACGAACCGGATTCCAAAAAAGTTGGGACACTAAACAAGTTGTGAATAAAAACTGAATGCAATGATGTGGAGGTGCCAGCATCTAATATTTTATTCAGAATAGAACACAAATCACAGATCAAAAGTTTAAACTGAGAGAATGTATCATTTTAAGGGAAAAATCTGTTGTTTCCAAATTTCATGACGTCAACAAATCCCAAAAAAGTTGGGACAAGTCCATTTTTTACCACTGTGTGGCATCCCCCCTTCTTCTTACAACACTCAACAGACGTCTGGGGACAGAGGAGACCAGTTTCTCAAGTTTAGAAATAGGAATGCTCTCCCATTCATGTCTAATACAGGCCTCTAACTGTTCAATCGTCTTGGGCCTTCTTTGTCGCACCTTCCTCTTGATGATGCGCCAAATGTTCTCTATAGGTGAAAGATCTGGACTGCAGGCTGACCATTTCAGTACCCGGATCCTTCTCCTACGTAGCCATGATGTTGTGATTGCTGCAGAATGTGGTCTGGCATTATCGTGTTGAAAAATGCAGGGTCTTCCCTGAAAGAGATGACGTCTAGATGGGAGCATATGTTGTTCTAGAACCTGAACATAGTTCTCTGCATTAATGGTGCCTTTCCAGACATGCAAGCTGCCCATGCCACAAGCGCTCATGCAACCCCATACCATCAGTGATGCAGGCTTCTGAACGGAGCATTGATAACAACTTGGGCTATCCTTGTCCTCTCTGGTCCGGATGACATGGCGTCCCAGTGTTCCATAAAGAACTTCAAATCGTGACTCATTTGACCACAGAACAGTCTTCCATTTTGCCACACTCCATTTTAAATGACCCCTGGCCCAGTGCAAACGTCTGAGCTTGTGGAGCTTGCTTAGAAATGGCTTCCTTTTTGCACTGTAGAGTTTCAGCTGGCAAAGGCGGATGGCACGGTGGATTGTGTTCACTGACAATGCTTTCTGGAAGTATTCCTGAGCCCATTCTGTTATTTCCTTGACAGTGGCATTCCTGTTTGAGGTGCAGTGACGTTTAAGGAACGGAGATCGCGAGCATCCAGTAGAGTTTTACGGCTTTGACCCTTACGCACAGCGATTGTTCCAGATTCTCTGAATCTTTTGTGATGTTATGCATGGTTGATGATGATAACTTAAAAGTCTTTGCTATTTTACGCTGGGTAACACCATTCTGGTATTGCTGCACTATCTTTCTGCGCAACAATGGTGGAATTGGTGATCCTCTTACCATCTTGGCTTCTGAGAGACACTGACACTCTGAGAATCTCTTTTTATACCCAATCATGTTGTCAAATGACCTAATTAGTGTTAATTGGTCTTCCAGCTGTTCGTTATATGCTCAATTTCCTTTTTCCAGCCACTTATTGCTACTTGTCCCAACTTTTTTGGGATTTGTTGACACTGTGAAATTTTGAATCAACATATTTTTCCTTTAAAATGTTACATTTACTCAGATTAAACTTTTGATCTGTCATCTATGTTATATTACGAATAAAATATTGACATTTGCCATCTCCACATCATTGCATTGAGTTTTTATTCACAATTTGTTTAGTGACCCAACTTTTTTGGAATCCGGTTTGTATGTGAGAACTCTACACCTTTGGGCCACGCATGTGCCCACAAGAACAGAAGGAAATCCAAAGTGTTGAATACATGAACATTACGGTACTTATTTTTCTTGAGCCAACAACAGTTACAATAAATAGAAGAGCAGTGTTTTTTGTACTACTCACCCTTTTTCAGCATGTGGGAGCAAAACTAATAACATCCTAGGTTCAAAACGGACACTCATGTATTCACCAGTTTAGATGTACTGTAACTGTGATCATCCAGATACTGCATCCACAATGGGTGTAGCTGAGCATGACATCAGGGTTGCCAGATAAACCTGAATTTTTTTTTTCACCCCCTCTTTTTCTGTGCACATGGTCACCAAACACAACAGACACTTCATATTACAGCATTCTCATGCAGCTCCTATGACAGTTTGGGTCAAAATACAGTAATGTTAAAATGACAATGCAGTAGTTCATTATTTCTTATCTGGCAACCTTGCCTAGCACAGAAACTAGAGCGTTTCCATGTAAACCTGCTTTTTTTTTGTGCGTCCCAATAAACATTGAAAAAACACAAATATTTTCATAGGTTGTTCTCGTGTAAACAGGGTCTAAAAACTTTAAACAGAGCAGGAGAGCTCCAATTTCAGCTTACAAGAATGTAAGCCTCATACCGAAGCTTCATTCACAAGATGCCTCCGTACGGGACTGACATGTTTCAATCCCAGACTGAGGCGACCACCTGTCTCGGCCCATTCAGAAGACACACGGAGGGGTGTCAGAGACAGTCTACCTCTGACGTGCCTCTGTTCCTCCAGTCAAGGTAGTAACAGGTTTGGGGTGGTCGATGTGAAGAAAACAAAACCCACGGAGCTGCGGCTCGGTAATGTGTGGAACTGATGATATTAATTGCGACCGCCCACATCTGAGCGGTATATGCTGGTTTCATCTCTGATTTATGAAAGGCTAGAGGAAGCTTAAAGACAGACTGATCTGTGTGGCCATTTCACAGAACAGTCTTATGTCTGTATAGATTATGTCCCTCTAACACTTTGATGCATGTGACAAAACATCTTTTGTTAGCCAGGTTAACAAAGACCCTAACAACCCACAGGTGGGTGGGGGAATGAGACCAACCTGCATTTCATGCAGTTTAAAACTCTGCATTCTTAAATGTTGAATGGGAAAAGTTCCCCCAAAGGGAAGTGAAACATCTTCAACTACAGAATATAAGTCTAAGTTTTTTTTATCCGTCCAGAGGACCTGATTTAACTTTGTTAGATTTTTCTACCTGGATTATTGAACGTGCATAAGGATAGTATACTATTCATATTAACAGTTTTATTTACTTTGGAAGAATTGGGTTTATAAACTACATTCCTATATAGATGCATATATACCTGTATAAACATGTTTACAATGGTAAATAGTGGAGTGAGTCATCAGCATAGAGTAGATATAAAAGTGCAACTAGTTGACAAAAATGTTTGTCGTTTTCTTATTTCAGTGGCTTTGTGTTCCCTTTCTGGTGCTAAGTCCTGCAGTCTCCATTATCTCACACACACCTGCCCTCAACCAGTCTTATGAAAGCTCCTGGGTAGGACACTTGGAGCTGATGGATGCAGGAAAATGGGTTGATGAACTTCTGCTCCTGGTAAGTCAATGATTTGTAAACCATTGATCACAACACAGTTTAGATGGAAGCATTTGTTGTTCAACAACATGTTGGTTTCAGCATAACCAGTACCGTTACAGATGTGAAGGTTTGTTTTATACTTGAACTAATGAATTATGTTTTATTTTAATTGAGCGCAAATAACAAGCCTAACAGTCACTTCTACATATCCATGTCCATGACTTGAGCTACAAGCTTTGTTGCAACTTTTGTACAAACATGTACTGCCGTCACAAATGAGAAAATTCACAGGAGAAAATATTCATAATTTAGCTACAGTACAGTTCAGCACATCTAGATCCAGGTCTGTCTGCAGTTAGGGGTGAAAAAAACAACTTTGCAAAGTTACTGATTGCCAAGGCCTATTTTGTTGCAGGCTTTAGGTGGATTGTCATATCAAGCTTTGTACCAACGAGTTCTTTCAGCAGCCTCTTCAACGCAGGCTCAGATCACCTGCTATGCTGCTGCTGTCACCGTTTTCATCATGGGAATCCCCTCAGTGGTCATTGGAGTCGTGGCTGCCTCTGCAGGTACTCTAAACCTGTGCCATTGATTTAAATATAAATATGTTTGTGTTACATAAACATGTTGAGCTTGTGTTTTTAAAAGTTTTATTCTTGTAAATATGTCTAAATATAACACTAAAAGAGTAACTTTCATCCATCCATCCATTTTCTTTACCCACTTTTTCCTTTCCGGGTCACAGGGCACTGGTGCCCATATCCAGCAGTCTGTGCAAAAGGCGTGGTACACTGTGGACACGTCTCCAGTCCTTCACAGGGACACATGGAGACAAATGAAACAAACAACCACCCACACTTGGAGGCAATTAGTTACCTTAATTACTGGACTATAGAGTGCACCCCAATAGAAGCTGTGCACACTAAATAAAATAATAACAATAATAATAATAAAATCTAAGCCATGCTTGTGTATAAGCTGTGGGTGTTCACACTGTACCATGAGTGGCAGCACTCAGCTACTGAGAGAGGTGCAGCTCTTAGTGCAGATTAAGAATAAAGCACCAGATGGCATTTTAAAGACTTTATTTTACTGTTCAGCACTGACAGCGTGAACTCTACAGTTCTTCATGACAACTACCTCCCTCACTCATGGTTGCTCTACTGAATGACCGAACACAAACTAACCTGTAATGAACACATAAACAAGGCTAACAAGAACAGACTAATCACTAAAAGAACAATGCTAAACAGCTAACTGAAATTATTAACAATGAACATAAATTTTACCCATAATTCCACCCACCCATTCCTGGTAGGCTACTGTATTTTTTTTAAACCAGCCGTGTTACAGGCACTATTCAGAAAAAAAATAAAATACTGTAAGTATTTGCGTATGTTACCGGTACATATTGATGTCTTATTCTCAGGATATCCTTGTAAAAGAGATTAATAATCTCGATGGATTTCTTTCCTGGTAAAATAAAGGTTTAAATAAAGTAAAATAATGAAAAAAATTGTTGCATTCTTGTTAATCATTTTGGTTAGCATTGTTCTTTTAGTGATTCGTCCGTTGTTGTTAGCCTAGTTTGTGTTATTTTGTGTTAGGTCATTCAATAGAGTAACCATGAGTGAGGGAGGTAGTTGTCATAAAGACCTGTGGAGTTCACTCTGTTTGTGTCACGAGGACCCACCCTTCAAGAGAGATGTATATTGGGCAGCTATACGAGTGCCTGTGTGTGACAAAGCTAAATGTTTTAAGCAACAGGAAGCATGTTGGCCAGTCCTAAAAAAACAACCATAAATTAGCTGCCTGTGAAAAAAGTAGCGGCATATAGACCGGCAGTTACGGTACTAATTAACCCAACATGCATGTTTTGGGTCAGTAGGAGGAAACTGGAATACATGGAGAAAACCCACATGTTCATTATGAGCGCATGCAAACTCCACACAGGAAGGCACCAAGCCGGGAGGCGAACCTGTGGCCTTTTTGCTGAGAGGCAACAGTTCTAACCACTTTACCACTGTGCTGCCTAAAAGAGGTTAAATGAAAATTAAAAACTACAAACATTTTCCACACATGATTTCTTTCAGAGGTAAACATGTTTCAACACACAGTTGGGCCCAAATAATCTTGTGAATGACTCGACTTCTTTACAGACTGTTTAAAATAACCAATCCGTCTTTTGTCAGGTTTAGTAAAATAAGACTTTTTGTCTCAGAATTATTCAACAAAATCAACACAAGTCATTCAACAAGCTTCACTTTTGTTTCACTACTTTTTAAAGAAGATTATAAACCAAATAAAATGAGTTTGACTTAAGCTGTCAACATGAATCAGACTCAGGTAAACAGTTTGAATCAGCTCTAAAAAAAATGTGGTGATCAAGTCCAAGTATCATACTAACCACAGACTTTTAACTTTAACAAAGTCATAAAATAGTTTTTCACCTTTTTTTTCTGTCCGTTCAACAAGTTGTTCAGATGTTAAATGTGAAATTCTTGTTTTCGATGTGACATCTTCAGTTCATGTCGTCACCTAAAATGTTTCAGGTCCAGTTTATTTACATTTCTACGTCTGAAGCGTCTCCCTTTACTTTCTCTGCTTTTCTCTTAAGACTGGAACCAGACAGACTATGGTTTTCCGCCTCCCTTTGAACGTGGAGATGCAGGGAAGATCCTGCCACTTGCTCTGCAGAACCTCACCCCCACCTGGGTCGGAGTGTTGGGGATCGGTTCTGTTGCTGCTGCTGTTATGTCCTCCATGGACTCAGCCTTGCTGTCATCAGCTTCCATGTTTACACAAAACATATACAAGACAATTGTCAGGAAGCAGGTGCGTGTTTTGGTTCATCATAACATAAAGCAGCTCAGTTTTGTTCTTATTGATGTGTCCCTCCCCCTCCTGCAGGCCTCGGAGAGGGAGCTCCAGTGGGTGATCCGGATTAGCGTGCTGCTCGTGGGCCTGGCAGGGACCGGTTTGGCGTTTGGCGGTGATAGTGTTCTAGCTTTTTGGATTTTAAGCGGAGATCTCACCTACGTTGTGATTTTCCCACAGCTGGTCTGCGTGCTGCACTTCCGGCATGTGAATTGTTACGGGGCCATTAGTGGCTTTGTGACAGGTTTGTTGCTGCGAGGGCTGAGCGGGGAACCAGTACTCGGGATCCCAGCTGTGCTCCGATACCCTGGTTGGAGAGAGGAGAACAGCGTTATCGTGCAATACTTTCCTTACAGGACGGTAGCCATGTTCGCTTCTTTATTAAGCATCATCATCGTCTCCTGCCTGGTGGACCAGATCTTTCATCACCAGCTAATCCCTCAGTCCTGGGATTTCCTGAAGGTGTTTAAGAAGAAAAACGAACCAGAGGAGGAGGAAATGCCAGACGCAAGTGAGGAGATGAAGTGTGCTCTCACTACGAAATTCTAAACTAAACGCGGCTGGAAACTCTGGACCAAAAACACGGACCATTTCTGCATTTTGATGGGACTGTTTTTATTTTCAGACAGAATCATCCTCCGTTCCTGCAGCTTTAAAGCTGCAGGAACGGAGGATGAGAGCTCCTTGAAAACTCACATTATGGGAGAAGTGTTTTTATTTTTGAGATGGATTATCAAGTTTTAAAAAAATAACCTAAAGTTTTGCTTAAATAGGTGCTATATTTTATTAAGGTGCCCCCATGTGATTGTTAATCTTGTAAAATGTTTGTTTAATTTTCTAAGGTTTTTTGTCTTTAATATAGCCTGAGTTATGGTTTAGGCAAAGATTGAAGTGCAATTGAAATGCCAAGTTTCTAAAAGAATAAGGGCATAAAAATACAAGTAAATGCACAGAAAAATATTAGAAGTGTGTATATATTTTTATACATTTGTTACCATATAGAGACTTTAAAAAAAAAAGGATTAGTTTAAAAATGATCAAGTAGATTTCTGTGCTATGCTAACGAACAATTAACATCTTACCTGTTGTAGAAAACTCTTTGAATGATCTGTTTGGAGTTGAATTCTGACCCAACTGATCGGCTAACAGCTGGTCCAAGTGATGAGACCTTTGTGGATCACTTCTGGTTTAAAACCTCCTCATTCCCCTGAAAAATGCACAGCAGTTCATGCAAACCATGGTAACTTTTACATTTTGCAGTTATGTACATGGAAATTTATGGTTATTTGCAGGTGCAAATAGTAGCAGCCAGCTGTAGTATTTTTAGTGCAGTCTGAAAATTACCAACCGTGTCAAGAATAAAATCAAATTTTCACATGAAACTCTATAAAATGTTTGATAATGAGTTGGTTTAGGATGAAAGCAATCCACTTTGCTTGGACTAGCTATTCACTCTTGAATACAGTCTGAGTTAAACTCTTATTTCTCCAAACTTCGATTGTTCAAAGAGTTATCTGCAACAGCTGATGGGACCCCCCCCCCCCCCCACACCTTCTTACCTCAGTTCATCTGTAATGTGTCAGGCTGACCAGCAGGGGGCAGCACTGTAACACTTTAGATGTGGGATGACCTTGATTCAATCTCAAACACAACAGTTGTCAAAACAAACATTTTAAAGTAGCTGCACAGAAATACACCAAGCACATTTCTCTTCAGTATAAATGTGTCCTAATCAATGCTTAATAATAGTAATAATAGTAATAATAATAATAATAATAATGTGACACTTCAATATGAGGTTAATTCACAAAATGATACACCAAGGGTTTGCAGTTTAAGGTTTCCTTCCTATCTATCTATCTATCTATCTATCTATCTATCTATCTATCTATCTA